GCGATGTGGAGCATCTTTTCATGTGTCTGTTGGCCATCTGAATTTCTTCTTTGGAGAACTGTCTGTTTAGCTCATCTGCCCATTTTTTAATTGGATTATTTGCTTTTTTGTTTGTTGAGGTGCGTGAGCTCTTTATATATTTTGGATGTCAGCCCTTTATCAGATCTGTCATTTTTGAATATATTCTCCCATACTCTAGGATACCTTTTTGTTCTATTGATGGTGTCCTTTGCTGTACAGAAGGTTTTCAGCTTGATATAGTCCCACGTGTTCATTTTTGCTTTTGTTTCCCTTGCCCAGGGAGATATGTTCATGAAGAAGTTGCTCATGTTTATGCCTATGTTGTTTTCTAAGAGTTTTATGGTTTCATGGCTTACATTCAGGTCTTTGATCCATTTCGAGTTTACTTTTGTGTATGGGGTTAGACAGTGATCCAGTTTCATCCTCTTACGTGTAGCTGTCCAGTTTTGCCAGCACCATCTGCAGAAGAGGCTTTCATTTCCCCATTGTATGTCCATGACTCCTTTATCATATATTAATTGACTGTATATGTTTGGGTTAATATCTGGGCTCTCTATTCTGTTCCACGGGTCTGTGGCTCTGTTCTTGTGCCAGTACCAAATTGTCTTGATTACTGTTGGCTTTGTAGTAGAGCTTGAAGTTGGGGAGCAAGATCCCCCCTTGCTTTGTTTTTATATCCCACAAATAAGTGAAATTATATGGAATTTGTCTTTCTCTGTCTGACTTAGTTCATTGAGCATAATACCCTGTAGCTCCATCCATGTTGTTGCAAATGGCAGGATTTCTTCTTTTTAAGGCTAATGTTCCATTATATATATGTACCACATCTTCTTTATCCAGTCATCTATTGATGGACACTTAGGTTGCTTCCATATTTTGGCTATTGTAAATAATGTGGCAGTAAACATAGGGGTCCATAGGTCCTTTTGAATTGGGGATTTTGCTTTTTTTGGGTAAATTCCTAGGAGTGGAATTACTGGGTTGAATGGTATTTCTATTTTAGTTTTGTAAGGAACCTCTCCATACTGCTTTCCACAGTAGTTTTACCAATTTACATTCCCACCAACAGTGTAGGAGGGTTCCCATTTCTCCACATAGTGACCTTTCTGACTGGTGTGAGGTGATATCTCATTGTGGTTTTGATTTGCATTTCCCTAATGATTAACTATTAGCATCTTTTCATATGCATATTGGCCATCTTCTGTGGAGAAATGTCTGTTCAGATCCTCTGCCCATTTTTTAATTGGGTTATTTGCTTTTTTGGTGTTGAGGCACATGAGCTCTTTATATATTTTGGATATTAACTCCTTAGCAGATAAATCATTTATGAATATATTCTCCCATACTGTAAATTGCCTCTTTGTTATGCTTATGGTGTCCTTTGCTGTACAGAAGCTTTTTAGTTTGATGTAGTCCCACTTGTTTATTTTTTTATTTTTTTTCCCTTGTCTGAGGAGATATGTGTAGGAAAAAATTACTCATATTTAATGTTTAAGAGATTTTTGCCTAAATTTTCTCCCTAGAGTTTTATGGTTCCAGGTCTTACATTTCAGGTATTTGATCCATTTCAAGTTTACTTTTGTGTATGGAGTTAGACAGGAATCCATTTTCATTCTCTTGCATGTAGCTGTCCAGTTTTCCTAACACCAGTTCTTGAAGAAGCTGTCTTTTTCCCCATGGTATATTCATGGATCCTTTCTCGTGTATTAATTGAGTGTGGGTTTATATCTGGGCCCTCTAGTCTGCTCTGTTGATCTGTGGGTCTGTTTCTTCTGCCAGTACTGTACTGTTTTGATTACTCTATCTTTGCAGTAGAGCTTGAAGTCAGGAAGCATAATCCCCCCCGTTTTGTTCATCTTTCTCAGGATTGCTTTAGCTATTCGGGTTTTTTTGTGGTTCCATATGAATTTTAGAACTGTTTGTTCTAGTTCATTGAAGAAGGTAGGTATTTTGATAGGGATTGCATGGAATCTGTAAATTGCTTTGGACAGGATGGCTCTTTTGAAAATATTAATTATTCCTATCTGTGAGCACAGGATAGATTTCCATTTATTGGTGTCTTCTTTAATTTCTCTCATGAGTGTCTGTTAGTTTTCAGAGTAAAGGTCTTTCACCTCCTTGAGTAGGTTTGTTACTAGGTATTTTATTCTTTTTAATGTAATTGGAAATGGAATTGTTTTCCTAATTGTACTTTATTCTTGCTTCATTTTATAGTTTTACAATTAAGGCAACATTGAGTTAATTTTTGTATAAGGCGTGAGGCCTAGGCTGTGGTTCATTTTTTACCTGTGGGTGCCCCACTGTGCCAGCACCCTGTGTAGGAGAGACTGTCCTTCCTCCATTGAACTGCTTTTGCACCTTTGTCAAAAACCAGACGGCCGTAGTTGTGTGGGCCTATTTCTGGGTTCTCTGCTTTGTCCTGTTCACCTGTGTGTCTCTCCCTCCACCAATAGTCTTGCATTTACCGTAACTCAGTAACACAGGCTTGATTACTGTAGCTAGATAATAAGGAATGATGCTGGCTAGAGTGGTTCCTCCTAACCTACTCTCCTTTCTCTAAAGGGTTTCAGTTACTCTGGACCCTTTGCCTTTCGAATATATATTTTATCAGCTCATCTATGTCTACAAAAACAAACATACGTGCTGGTGTGTCAATAGGAATAGTGTTACACCTATAGATTGATTTTGGAAAAATTGACATCTTTACTGTGTTAAGTCTTCCAATCTGTGAACATGTTCCATCTCTCCACGTATTTAGGCCTCTTTAATTTCTCCCATCAATGTGTTGTAAGTTTGGTCACACAGATCTGGTATGTTGTGTTGAATTTATATCTAAGTACTTCACTTTCTTTAGCGTGATGGAAAGTGATATTGTTTTCACAGTTCCATTGTTAATATGTAGAAATGCAATTGATTTATGTGCTGCGTATCTTTATTCTCCTTGTTGCTATTGAAAAGATAAGTTTTCTTGTGTTGGTTTAAAAGTTGTATTTTTTATCTTGTTTTGTTTGTCCCTGGGACTATTTCCAGAAGCTGGAAGTGTTTGCTTTTATACCTCTCACTAGTTTCTCTGGGCAGCAGGTCAGTAGGTCTCCTCACGCTGTCATACCAAAGTTCCCACCATGCTCCTCAACCACAGTGACAGGAAGCTCACCTGAGGAATCTGTAACAGACAAAGACCTCTAGCATACGGTCACTCTCACTCTCTCAGTCCATCATGTCCCATTGCAAACTTCAGGGGTGCTGACCCAGTGCACTAATCCACAGGCGGTTCCAGCCACCCCCTCTTCCTCCCACTTCCAAGCAGTCCCATGTCTCCCATTCCCAGCCCATAAGGAGGTGGACCCTGCAGTCCCCTCTTAGGCATGCCTCTTCCTGTGGCATACCTTGGTGAGTCCTGGTGGCCCTCTGGGCTGCAATCTGCTGCTGTGGTCCTGACAGACTGGGCGTGATCCCCAGGTTGTCTCCTTTACGGCTGACTGGCTTGTGCTGTACTTCCTGAGAGCGCCGCTCTTCATTCTCAACAGTCCTGATGGGAGAACTAGGGCTACCTGGGCCGAAGAGACTCTTAAAGGCCATGTGGTCCAGTGGCTTTCGACCCTCATACATTGAAATGAACTGGGGAGTTTTAAAGATACCAGCGTCTGGGTACCCCACCTAAATCAATTACACCAGAATCTCTCTAATGGTGAAGCTGATCATAGCTGTTTTGGAAAGGTGCCCCAGGGATTCAAATGTACCGTCGGGGTTAAGAACCACCTCTCCTATCTAACCCCTTCACTTTACTGACGCCCAGAGAAGTGACTTGCCCGAGGCCACAGTCAGGCTAATTTTCTGATTTTAGACTATCTGCCTCACCTCTCTCTCCTTTCATCAGGTACATCCTAACTCACTTCTCTGCTTCGTCCAATCGCTCCCTTAGGGCTCGGTCCAGACAGAGCCCCTTGCTTACTGCTCTTTGTGCCTGTGTAACGTCGTTCTTCAGCAGCTTCCCCAGGTGCACTGGGAGCTCATTTTGGGCTGCAGCAGCCCCTCCAGATCTGGCTACTCCCCCCACAGGGCCGCAGTGGCCTCCACACCCTGCAGGTGCTCCAGCAGCTGCCCTCAGTGGAAACAGCAGGAAACAGGAGCACCCGGGATCGGGAAGCCTGGCTCCACATGAACTTCCCTGAACCTTGGTTTCCTCTTCTGAAATGTGGGCTAAAACCCTGTCTTCACTGCTGGGCTCTCTACAAAGCAGCTTCAGAGCCCTCACTGGCGGGCTCCTCCCGAGGCCCGGGAGGGGCTCTCAGCCTACAGATCCCTCTGTATTCCTTTTCATGGACAGCCCCTAACTGTTGCTTGATGCTCCCCACCCCATGGACTTGCTGTAGGAGTTAAATAGATTCTATTCATAAAATATGGGAATGCAGTAGGTGCTCAATGTGTCACTCCCTCAGAACAGCCCAGAGAAGCAGGGACAGGACACACAGAACCGTGCTGGCATGTCCCTTTAATGTCCCCCACATCACCATCCCACCACCTGGCCCACTCCAGGGGTGGCCTCCAGGCAGACCAGCGGGTGGCACTACGGCACCTGGCCCTTGGGGGCAGCCTCCTCAGCTCTGATGTGGCTGTGGATCCAGTCGAGGTAGCGGCTGACCTTGGTGTAGACACCGTAGTTGTGGAGGCGCCCACAGCCTTCTCCCCAGCTCACCAGGCCCACCAGGAACCAGGTACCGTGGAAGGAGGCCACCATGGGCCCCCCACTGTCCCCCTCACAGGCGTCCCGTGAGTCCCCAAGGATTCCGGCGCACAGCATGTTCTCTGAGACCATGTTGTGCATGATCTGGGCACACTCGTCTTGCGGGGCCACAGGGATCTTGATGAAGTTGAGGACAAAGGTACGGTTCCTCTTGGTCTCGCTGCGATAGCCCCAGCCCGTCACCACCGTCTCCTGGCCAACCTGCGTGAGCTGGCGCTCAGAAAGGCCGCTGTCCGGGAGGCAGATGGGCACGATGGTCTGGGAGAGGGTGGCAGGCCGCGCCAGGCGCAGCAGGGCGATGTCATTGTCAGTGGTGCTCCGGGTGTAATTGGGGTGCATGAGGACCTCCCTGATGTCCACGTCCACCTCCCAGTTCTCCCAGCGCCGCAGGTCGTACTCCCCTGAGGGCAGAGGGGCTTTCAGAGCCGGCCTGAGGGTGCCTGCCTCCCAAGCAGCCCTGTGAGGCCGACCCGATCACTGTGTCAGGCAGGCCCTGGTGGAGCTGGGGAAGTGGACCCACAACTGGTGTGGCCACTGAGCATCCCAGCCTCTGTCACAGGCCATCTGTCTGCACCTCACAGCCCATAGTGTCAGTCCTGAAGGGGCAAAGGCTGGCAACAGACCAGAGCTGCAAAGGGACTGCGGAGCAACCAGAGCTGGAGACAGCGGGCTCTCCTGCCACAGTGCCTGGCTCGAGCACAAGGCACAGATGCACCACGGGGGCGGGGGCAGGGAGCAAGGCCCGGAGAGCAACAGGACACGTGTGTCTGCCAGGCAAGAAGGATCTGGATCACACCTGAGAGACAGGATCCCCTCAGAAAAGCCTAATGACTCCTGGCAGGGGAGGGAACTGGGAACCCAAACTGAGCTCCACGGAGGTCACTGGTCGTGCTGGAAGGGACTGTAGGAAGTGTGGACTTGGTCATTCTCAGTGGGGCTTTTCCTTCTTTTTGCATAGAGTGGAGTGACAGCTGCCTCCAGAAGCCGGTGTGGAGTGGGACCCAGGCTTGGGGACCCCGCACCCCTGTGGCGGAGCAGCTGTGGCGGATGCTGGGCCCCGCCGTACAGCTCTTTGCTCATCAGCCCTGGTGAGGCACAGCCCTGGGGACAGGCCACGTGGATGCCCTGGAGGTCCCCACGCAGCCTGCCCCACTGAGTGGGAGTGAAGAGGCAAGTGTGCGTGTAGCCCCCCATTTGCAAACACATGTGTATAAACACTTGGGTACCAGGTCAGAGAACCAACCCCCTACCTGCAAAATTCCAGGTGTCTAAAATTCTACCAGCTTAGAGGCCCCGCCCCCCAAACACCTGCACAGCTGGAGCACCCCAAAGAATGGGGTGCCCAAACCTAGCCAGCCTGTCTGGTGCCACCCCTTCCAGAGGCCACTGGTGGCTCCCTCCTGCCTGGCTCCAGCCCGCACCGAGCCTGACAGTGAGCTTCTTGGAGTCCTCCATGCAGTGGGCCGCTGTCAGCACCCAGGAGGTGTGGATGAGCACCGCCCCGCAGGCCAGCTTCTTCTTTGAGTCCAGCAGGATCACCTGGGATGGGGGTGGGCCACGACATTAATTCACAGGGTCTCCTGCACAGGTTCTCCTGCACACGTAGGTCTTTCCTGGGTCCCCTGGTCATGTGGGCATGGACTTAGGTCCCCTTCCTGGCATTTTTTTTTTCTGTATGTTTTTACAGAAGTGGCCTCCTCCAGGGCGTCTCCCTGCCTTCACCTCTGCTGTTCCTGCGGTCATCCGCCATAGCCGGGGAATGCTGCTCAGCAGCTGGGGCTCAGGCTGGGCCTCGAGTCCTCTGGGAAGCCAGGTTACTTTGGGGGTTCCCTCAGCCCCTCCTCCAGCCATAGCAGCTCTGACCCCGTTGGGTTGCTGTGTGTTGAGCGCCTGACCCTCCCTGGGTCTGTGAGTCCCCAAGGCCTGTCCACCCCCTGCTTACTGATTTCTGTACCCCTAGTGCCTGGCAGAGAGGGGCATCAGTGCCTGTGCTCAGCCTAGCCCTCTCCCCTGAGCAGGCCTCTGCCCAAGTCCCCCCAGCGGAACACTACCTCCAGCTCTTCCCGCAGGTCTTCAGCCCCGGGCACCCCGTCCTGGCTGCCCCTCTCCCATTGGTCACCTCCACCTTTCCCGGAAACCCCACCCCCTAGGCACTGCCTCCTCACCCCCACCGAGCGAAGCCAACACTTCCTTCCCCATTTGTGCGTCCGGAGCAGGAGCCCCCAGGAGGGGCTCAGCGATTCCCCTCCCCACCCGTCACTGAGAAGCTGCCTGTCCTCTCACCTGCCAGGGGCTCTCCCCCCGCGGCGACATCTTCCCATTGACGAGCCGTGGGTCTATGTGGTCGGCTTGGCTTGTGTCGCGCTTCAGGTTCTTGCGCTGCTTGTCCATCCGCTTCCCCAGCCTCCCACAGGGGAACTTCACTGAGGGGGCGGGGCTGGTGAGCGCCTGCAGGGCTCCCGGGGCTGCCCTCCCACCTTGCCCACCCCTGCCTGCAGGATAGTGTGCGGTACCGTAGGGTTAAGGGGAGAGCGATGCTTACACCACTCAGTTTCCCTGACCTGCAGATCTAGGGTTAGGCAGCCTGCACAGCACCTGATGTTAAGACTCCGACCAAGCTGCATGACTAGCAAGCTGCGTTCTTGGGGTTCACAGTACCCCAGGCTGTTGGGAATAACGTAAGTAAGGCCTCCTGCTGGGATGCCGCCAGGCTCCTAACAGAGTCAGTGAGATATTATTAGGAGGAGGAGGTGGGCGTCCTTGGAGAGCCCCAGAGTAGCTCTGAGCATGGCTGTGACGTCCTCTGCAAAGCGAGCACATGACGAGAGCCACGCGCTGGCAGGTCTGCCCATGAGGGCCCTTCATGCTAGGCCGAGAGCAGTGGGGAGCCATCAGCAGGGGAGCCACACAGTGACGCAAGTGAAGACAACACTAAACTACGTTTTCAGAAGCTGGACAGCAGACAGGGTGACTGACAATCAACAGAAAGGACACCTCAGCCAGTGCCCAGGGATGCCAGAGCTGGCTGCTTGGCATCCCTGAACCCCAGGGAGCCACTGGTTCTGAAGTTTGTAAAGGAAAGTGCTGGAGCCCTAGACCTCTGTCCTGCCCCCTCATCAGTGGCTTGACTGTCCTCTCACCCCTGCAGATGACCACAGGTATACTCTGCACACAGGGAACCAGAGACTGTGACCTGCGCCTCCAGGCACCATCCCCGCAAAGCGTGACCTGCAAGGCTGACCAGAGGAGCCACATCTACAGACGGGGCAGACGGCAATCCCCTCCCCACCTGCTCCAAGGGCGTGATGCCAGGCTTGACCCACCCAAGCATGAGCTTGGAGGAGTCCTCTCAGAAAAATGGCCTCAAGCCCCAAGGATCTGAGCCAGAGGAGCTCTGCCAGTGTCCCCTCCTACGTCCCCACAGGAATGCCCACACAGCCACCAGGCATTTTTCTCTGCAACTTCCTGCCAATCTCTAAGTACTTCAAGTGAAAAGTTAGAATTGTTTTTTCAGTAAAAGTGTTGGAATATTGGAAAAGGATTGTTGAAAGTTTCCTGAAAAACGAACACAAAGTACAAGAGATGGAAAAGAGATAAACGTAGATCAGTCTGGAGGAGGCCGACCTACGTTACAGGAGACCCAGAGAGAAGACAGACAGGGGAGGTTGTCAGAGAAATTATGAAGAAATGTTCCCAGAGGTAGAGAATAGTTTCCACATTAAAGGGCCCACCCAGGGCCCACGCCCAGGCACAGCCTGCTGAAATTCATGACAAGAGCTGTAAAATTCTCACCTCTGTGGATGTGTACATATATAAATTCGATAACAAGTAAAATGTATAAAAAGGAAAACAGAATCGTGTTGTTGTCTTTCCTCAGAGCTGGCCTGAGGTATGCAGGGAGAATGGGATGCCGGGCTGGACGGGTGCCTTAAGGAATGAAGCCATCCAAGCCAAGCAGAAGACGCTGCAGGCCTGGCCCCCGATGTCCGCTCAGTTTGGGAGACAAGCGCACTACGGACTCATGGTGAGCGTCCCCGGGGGCGGGGAGGCAGGGGCGCCGGAGGAAGGCAGGCAGGCCAGGAGAAGAGCAGGCGGGAACTGGCCACGGGCACACGCCCTTCCCGGGCCTCCGCACCCCGTCCCCGCCCGCCCCCCGGGCTCCCCCTGGCCCCCGGTTGGGGAGGCTCACCTGTGGGCACGCACTGCTCATGGTCGTCCGCCAGCCGGTAGCCCGGCGCGCAGCTGCACTGGCGCCAGCCCTCCTCCTCCAGGCAGTAGTGCGCGCAGCCGCCGTTGTCCACCGAGCAGTTGGCGAAGCGCACCTCTGAGCAGGAGGGCAGGGGGCGCCCAGGGCGCACGTGGCACGCCAGGCCCGGGCCCGCCCCCCGGCGCCGCGCCCCCGCGCCCCCTCCGCCCGCGGGTCCCGGCGCCGCACCCCTCACCGTGCAGGCAGAAGCGGCCCTCCCAGCCGCCGGCGCAGTCGCAGTGGAAGGAGCCAATGCCATCGATGCACTTGCCGTGCCCGCAGCACGTGCTGTCGCAGGGGTGCTCGGGGGGCGGGGACGCGCACTGGTCCTCGTCTGCAATGTGGCGTGAGGGGGTGTCCCTGGTGCCACCAGCCCTCTTCCCGACCCCACCGTGGCCCAGAGCCCCAAGGGGCCACGGCACAGCAGTCAGGGGTCTAGAGCTCACTCACCGAGGTACTTGGACCAGAAGGCCAGCTGTGGAGAGAAGGCTTGGGGTCAGGGGCCGACGGCCCTTTGGGGGCATATGGGGAGCCCACGGGACACTTCCTGGGTCTGGCCCAGGCGAGGCCGGGCAGCCTCTACGTGGGCAGGTGAGGGAAGGGCTTCCAAAGAGGAGTCAACTCCCGCTGGTCGCCAGCCACTGCATCCTGAATAAGGCCAGGCTTCTTGCACCCTGGTGCCCATCTCCACTCCGCAGCCCATCACAGCGCCCCCTACCAGGTCCCTGGTGCCTCGCTGCTGCTGGTCTGGGATGCCTGAACCCTAGAGGCCTCCGCCCTGCCGGCCCCAGAGACCTTGAGGTGGGAGGCAGGAGGGATGGGAGGAACGGATGTGCACAGGGTGCGCTTCCGAAAAGTCATGTTGGTGTGTGCTGGGAGGCCATTTGGGGAAAGAAGCGGGGCATCTAGTCAAGGAGGGGACCGCTGAGGACAGAGGAGCAGGCTAGAGCGCCCCCTTCAGTCTGGGTGGGAAGGGCGCCCCTACAAACAGGTTGGAAGGGGCCCCAGGGGTGCACAGAGCCCCAGGTGCTAGCAGCCCAAGCCAGCCCTTGGAGATTGAGGGGGCTGAGCCTCCTCCCTTACCCTGGTCCATCCTGCCACCTGACGGCCACTGCCATGGGGCCCGGAGAGGACTAGACCTTTTCCTCAGGTTCCTGAGCAATCAGTTTTGTCCCTGAGAATTTAGACTGAGGTACAGTGAGTGTATGCGGACAAACGTCAGGGGCTCTTGGGTCACACGCACCAGGCACCTGTGTGGAAGCAGAGGTGATGGCCTTCCCGTCACACAGAGGGAGAACGGGGATGCAGTGGTGGCCAGTCAGGTGGAGGATGGGCTGAGCTCCCTGAGTGGGGTCAGTGGGAGTCCCGGCCTAAGGCTTCCCCAAACTCTCTTCCTGGAGCTAGTTGCAGAGTTCTGTTTCTTACAGCCACATGTGCCCAGACTAAGACCACAGGGCCAGTGTCATTCATCCACTCACACCCCCACCAGCCCCCTCCCCAGTCTCCAAGAAGGCCTCAGCAGCCAGGCACCAGCCGGGCACCAGCCCACCCCTAAGCTTCATCCTCCAGATCCAGCTGGTGGCCTTACTGTGTCATCCACATTCTGGAAAATCTCCTGGGCCTCCTCGAAGTCACAGATCTCCTCTCTGCACTCCCGCTCCAGGCTGCTGGCCCGGAGCTCCTCCAGGAAGGTGTTGGCACGTTTGCGGAGCCGCAGCACCTGGTGGGCGTGCTGGCTGCTGGAGAACACTGAGTCTGTTTGAGGGGAGGGGAGCTCACTTTGGTGGGGGGCCTTGCAGGGCCCAAGCTGTGGGGGAGGGCTGGGAAGGCTTGTCTTGGCCCCTCAGGACTTCAGATTCCAGGTAAGGATGTGGTCCCCTGCTCTTCTGCTCAAAGCAGGTGGCTGTCCACTGGAGGACAGGAGACTTGGCCAAAGTGTACGTGCTGGGACAGACAGACCTCCGTGTGAACCCCAGCCTGGCCTCTGTGTGACCTTCAGCCAGTGTCTTTACTTCTCTAAACCTCATCTAAACTGAAGATGAGATAATCATGCAAAACACTTGTACAATGGCCAGTACCGAAGTGGGCAACAGTGACAGTTAATCTCTGAATGCACCTGTGCAACCCCCTTGATCCCTTGCTCCCCTCCGCTCCTCCTGGGCCTCCCCTCACTGAGCATTTCCCATGCCTAACCTGTGGGCGGGCACACCTGGCGGGGAGCAGGCCTGTCACCCAGTGAGCACCACAAATGTCTCCTGGGCTCTTTGTCTCGGGCAGAGGGGGACAGCTGAGATGGAGGGATCAGGTCACAGTGTGTGCTCATGGAGCGTGAAAGGCCAGGAAATAAAGGCATGCCAGAACTGAGTCTAGACAGATGGCCATGTGGACCGCAGGTGGGAGTCAAGGGGAGGGGCACCCCGGGTGGGTAAGCAGCTCAAGGAGAGGCCGACATGCAAGAAACAGCCTGTGTGGCTCAAGGAGACATGGGGGCTATAGCGTAAACCAGGCAGCTCATTCCTCCTGAAGGCCTCTGGGGCATCCAGGCCCCTTCCTGTTGGTAGAGGGGGGGGGGCAGGGCAATGGAACTGCAGATGTGCATCTTTGAAGGAGAGGCCACCCTGGCTTGGTGGCCTGGGCCTGGGGCTTTCACACTTGAGGGAGTGAGGGGGTGGTGCAGGAAGGCCCCAGGGGCTCTGATCCACTCCCCAGGGGGCAGGAAGGAGCTTCAGGAAGTGCCCCTGGGGCTCCCTGCATTCACACAGTAACCTGTCCTCAAGGCCTGAAGCTCAGAGGAGATGTGGAAGGCCTGCACAGGTTCCGGGGAAGCCGTGGGGAGGCTCTGAGGGTCCCAGGAGGGTTGGGTGTGGGGTGGAAGACTGGCCTTACCCAGAGTAGCTGGTGTGCTGGAAATCCCCCAGAAGGTCACAAACAGAAAGAGGCTTGCGAGCTGCCACATTCTGGAGTTGCTGACACCTGTCTGAGGAGGACTTGTGAGCTCCCGGCAGCCCCACCAGTGCCTGCTCACACTGGTGGGACTGCTGGACCCCCCTGACCCCCTGCCGCAGGTGGGCACTGAGTGAAACGGCCTCCCGTGAATGGTGACCATCATGGGGTTCCTGGTCGCTAGACAGACAGACAGCCTCCTGGCATCTCAGTCTCCTTCTCCAAACGGAGCTAAGCTCACACAACATGCTCTGAGTGTGAAGGGTGAGGAGACAAAGTGGAAAGGGCCAAGTCCTGACGAAGATCGAGGGACTCAGCCCCCAGAATGCCCATGCCCTGCCTCGCCCCATTCTCTGGACAGGGTTGGGGACCTGCCTTTGCTGATCTAATGGCCATGTTATGAGTAATGACTTTTATCAGACCTTCATGGTGTCTTTCAACAATTTGTACATGGTTTGGGCCACCAAGTCAGACAGCTGGTGCAGATCCCAGGTCCAGACAGCACCACCAGGCAAGAGGCCTAACTGCTACATGCCTCAGTTTCCTCATTTGTAAAATGGGTAGAAAACTGTACCTCTGCCTTTCAGGGGTGTGTGAAAATTAAATGCGTTAATCCACATAAAACTCTTAAAACCCTGTTTGCACACAGCAAATGGTCGGGAAGCACTACTATTATCTCAGTCAAGATTCATGACCACCAAGAGGTACTAATGTTGTCACCCTACTTCACAGAGGGGAGAACTGAAGCTCAGAAGAGTGAAGTAGCTTATTAAAACCCCCAACCAGGGAGGGGCAGAGCTAGGACTCAAGCCCAGGCCTGTATGGCTCCACACCTGGAGCCTGTCCCAAATCACTGGGTGACCCAAAAGGCCTCAGAGGTAACCCTGCTGGCTGGACACCTAGGACCCTTCACTGCCTCCAAGACCGAGGCAGAGGTAAGCCTCCTGCCCCATCTGCATCCCCCAACATCTGACCTCACCTTCTTCCCCCACTGACTCCCTCTGAGACTGACATTTACATCCGATGCCCCAGGTCTGTGGTGGTGAGCATGTAGTAGAAGGTCCTGTGCTCCAAGCTGCCTCTGGCCGTAGCCCTGGGCCCTGGAGGCCCTCAGCCTACTTCCAGTTGCCTGACAATCAAGGAAGAAGACCTCATGGCTCCCAGGCCTAAGGAATGCCAACCAGCAGCCCTGGCCTGGCCGGCGGCAGAGCCCTGACTCCCCTTTACACCCAGCTCCAGCTGGCCTCTGGAACCCCAGCTCGAGGCGTTGCCAGCCCGCTCAGCCCCCTCCAGCCCCCTCACAGGCCTGTCTTGAAGGGCACTTACTGGGGTGGGCCGTGGGACTGCAAGTTTGCCCTCCTGCCGCCATGACAGTCTGGAACTGAGTTAATCCGTAACTGCAAATATTTGCTCGGCCCTCGATGCTGGGGCCGCCCTCTCCACAGATAAACAAGTTCCCAGCTCAGGATGGCAGTGCTTGTCTAAAGCCTTCTGCCCGCCAGCGGTGCCATCCAGGAGGGAGGAGGGTGAGGGACTGGCACTGCCAAGATGTGGCCTCATTTTCGCCCCTGAGTGGCTGGCTGTGGGAGGAATGCCGGGCCCATTGTGCAGATGGGGACATCTTGCCCCAGATCAGCACACTGAAGGATTCCGTATTTCACCAACTCTAAGATGCCATTAATTACAAGATGCACCTATTTCATGAGCCAGAGTAAAACAAGAGTCACTGTCAATCACAGTGACACACCACCCCAATTTCTGATTTCCGTGATGTAAAATGAGGAGACATGCCTTCAGTGTCCCTGCTATGTGGGTGCTGGGCACTCTGCTAGACCCCCCACACACACCTGCTCCTGGCTATTCCTATAACCCCTACTTGGCAGATGAGGACACTCAGAAATCTTTTGTTACTTGCCCAAATTCACCGATCTCATCAGTGGCAGGTCTGGATTAGAATTCAGGTCTTCTGGCACCGCTTGGCCACCTTTGTGAACAAGTGAGGAAAATAAACAGGATTCTGGAAAGGCTGCGGTCAGTTCATGGCTGACAAGCAGGAAAGCAGAGGGCAGAGGGAACGGCTGGAGCCTGTGTGGGGCCTGCCGTCTATCAGCGTAAATCCCTGGCCCCGCAGGGCCGGAGGCGCCCCATTTCCTGCGTACCTACCCCCTCCTTGGAGGACTAGACTACACCCCTCCAAGCCCTGATCCCCGTCCCGCCCCACTCGCACGTGACCCGCCCCACTCCCTGCGCTGTCGCCTGACCCTGACCCCAGGGTCGATCAGATCCTCTGCCCAGCCCCTTCGGAGTGGGGCCTCAGAACCCTGGTCAGCTTGAGCTCGGGAGGTGGGCGAATCTGAAGCAAGGGCCCAGGCCTCTCTGTTGGCCTAACGCAGAGGCCACCGGAGGGAAGAACGCAGGCTCACACGGGTTTACACCTCAACTGGCCTCCTGCCTGGATGGGTTATGTAAACTTCCCCTGGCCTCGATTTCCACATCTGTAAAATGGACCAAAAATAGCATCCACCACGGGTGGTTGTTAGAAGGATTTAATTAAATAGTTTCTGCAAGGTGGGCAGAGCCTGGGGCTTCACAAGCCATCAGCAGCGGGCTTCCTCTGTTGGCGGAGAAGGCGAGGTCCCACACTGAGCACAGAGAGCGTCCAGCCCAGGACGGCGCTGCAAGGCTCGGCCTGGGCCGGGAGAGGCAGGCAGAGGCTCTGCGGAGCGCCCCTCGGGGACTGGAGGTGGGTGGCTGCAGGCCTGCGGCAGCGGCACAAAGACACGCTGACTTTTTTAAAAAAATCATACGATATAATGCACTCTTCAAATGTACAATTCTGGTGTGACACATGTTCTGTCACAGTGTACCACCAGCACAATCACGGTGTGGGGCATTCTGTCACCCTCAGATTTCCCGTGCCCCCACCCCCCAGGCCCTGGCAACCACCGATCGGGATTTCTGTGGCATGTAAATGGAATCCTACTGTACATAGCCGGGTAAGCCTGGCTTCTTTCATTCAACATAAAGCTTTTGAGACTCCTCCATGGGGATGTGTGTATCAGTAGTTTCCTTCTATTGCTGAGTGGTTTCCATTGTATGGATGTACTACAGTGTATGTACTTACCCATTCACCAATTCTTGGCTATTTTTAAGTAAAGCCACTAGAACATTCACATACAGGTGTTTGTGTGGGTCTATGTTTTCAGTCCTATTGGGAAAATATCTAGGAATGGGATTCCTGAGTCATGTGCTAAGTACATGTTTGCTTTTATACAAAAATAAAAAAGCCAAAACTCTTATCAAAAGTGGCTGTGCCATTTTGCATTCTTACAAGCAACATACAGATGTTCCAGTCACCCTGCATCGTCCCACCACTTAGTGCTCACATGTGTGTGTTTCTGAGCTGTTTTAACAGCTGTATGGAAATACATCATTGTAGCTTTAATTTCATTTTCCCTAATCATTAATGATGATAAGCATCTTTTCATGTGTTTATTTGCCATTCCAATATCCTCTTTGGTGATGTGTCTGTTTAAACCTTTGATTTTTTTTGAGTTTTGAGAATTTTTATGTATTCTGGCAACAAGTCCTTTAAAACATAAGTATTTTGCAAAAATTTTATCTCAGTCTATGGTTTGTCTTTTATTACCTAACTATGTCTTTTGATGAGGAAATATTTTAAATTTTGATGAAGTCCAGTTAACTCATGTTTTTGTGTCCTAGCTAAGAAATCTTCAACTTACCCAAGGTCACAAAAGTTTTCTCTTATGTTTTCTTCTAGAAGTGTTATGGCTTTTATATTTAGATCTCTACCCCATTTTGGAATTTATTGTTATATATGGCATGAGGCAGAGATGGGGTTACTTTTTCTCTGTTTGGATATCTAGTTGTTCCAGTACCATGTGTTGCAACCCTATGCTTTTCCCCATTGAATTGCCTTGGTGTTTTATCAAAAATGAATAACCATATATGCAGGTGTCTATTTCTGCACTCTATTTTGTTCTATTGATCTATCTGTTCATACTTATGTCTACATCATACTGTCATAACTGCTTAATTGTTGTTCCAAGACTCCATTGAGATTGTTCTTTTTCAAAACTGGCTTGGCTTTTCTAGGTCCTTTGCATTGCTATGCACAAGTCAGAATCAGCTTGTTAATTCCTACTAAAAAAATGCTTGCTGAAATTTTCATTGGGATTTAGTTGGCTCTATAGGATAATCTGGGGAGAGGAGACATCTTGATATTGAGTCTTTTAGAATGTACACTAGTTCAACCATTGTGGAAAGCAATATGGAGGTTCCTCAAAAAACTAAAAATAGAAATACCATTTGACCCGGGAATTCCACTCCTAGGAATTTACCCAAAGAATACAAGTTATCAGATTCAAAAAGACATGTGCACCTCTATGTTTACTGCAGCACTATTTACAATAGCCAAGATATGGAAGCAACCTAAGTGTCCATCAGTAGATGAATGAATGAAGAAGATGTGGTCCATATTCACAATGGAGTACTATTCAGCCATAAGAAAGAAACAGATCCTACCATTTGCAACAACATAGATAGAGCTGGAGGGTATTATGCTCAGTGAAATAAGCCGAGGAAAAAGACAAATACCAAATGATTTCCCTCATTTGCGGAGTATAAGAACAAAGGAAAAACTGAAGGAACAAAACAGCAGCAGAGTCACAGACTGTAAGAAGGGACTAGTGGTTACCAAAGGGGAGGGGTGGGGGAGGGCTGGTGGGGAGGGAGGGAGAAGGGGATTGAGGGGTATTATGTTTAGTACACATGGTGTGGGCCGGTCACAGGGAAGACAGTGTAGCACAGAGAAGGCAAATAGTGACTCTGTGGCATCTTACTACACTGATGGACAGTGACTGCAAGGGGATATGGGTGAGGACTCGATAATATGGGTGAATGTAGTAACCACACTGTTTTTCATGTGAAACCTTCATAAGAAAGAGTGTATATCAATAATGCCTTAATAAAAAAATTTTTTTAAAGGAAAAAAAATACTGAGCCTTTTAGTCTGTTAGCTTGGTATTTCTCTGCATTTATTTTAGTCTTTGTTAATTTCCTCACCAATGTTTGGTACAGGTCTCTAACATGTTTTGTTAAACTTATCTCTACTTATTTTAAGTCCTTAAAATGTTATTGTAAATGGCATTTTAAATATTCAATTTACAATTGTTTGTTGCTAGTATATAGAAATACAATTTTTTAATACTGGCTTATATTTCTTTTTTTCCAGTTGTACTGACATACAACTGACATATAACATTTTATTAGTTTCAGGTATATAACATGATTTGATATACATATGTAAAATGATCACCATAATAAGTTTAGTTAGCATCCATCACTTCACATAGTTAGAATTTCTTTTTCTTTATTGCAATGAAGTTGATATACAATATTATGCTGGTTTCAGATGTACAACATAGTATAATTGTATACTTTACTACATGCTTACCACACTAAGTGTAGTTACCCTGTTATCAGACCAAGATACAATATTATTGGTTAGAGTCTCTATGTTGTACTTCCATTCCTATGTCTAATTTATTTACAGTCTGCAGTTTATACCCCTTTATCCCCTTTACCTATTTATCCATCCTTCCAACTGCTTCCCTATGGTAACCAACAGTCTCTTGTCTATTTTTGTGGGTCTATTTCTCTTTTTGTTTTTTTAGATTCCACATGTGAGTGAACTCATGGTATTTGTCTTTCTCTGCCTGGCTTATTTTGTGTAGGATGATACCCTCTAAGTCCATCAGCTTGTTGCAGGATTTCCTTCTCTTTTATATTGAGTATATTCTATTGTGTTTATGTGTATATGCACCACATCTTCCTTATCCACTTGTCTGTTGATGGGCACTTATCCACATCTTTGGTTGCTTCTATAACTTTGCTATTGTAAATAATGCAGCAATGAACATAGGTGTGCATATATCTTTTTGAATTAGTGATTTTCTTTTCTTTGGGTAAATTCCCAGAAACAAAATTACTGGGTCATATGGTATTTCTGTTTTTAGTTTTTTGAGGAACCTCCGTATGCCTTTCCACAGTGGCTACACCAGTTTATATTCCCGCCAGCAGTGCACGAGGGCCCCCTTTTCTCCACATCTTCACTAACACTTGTTATTTCTTGTCTTTCGGACAGTAGGCATTCTGACTGGTGTGAAGGGACACCTCACTGTGGTTTTGATTTGCATTTCCCTGATGGTTAGCGATGTGGAGCATCGTTTCATGTGCCTGTTGGCCATCTATAAGTTTTCTTTGGAAAAACATCCAGGTCCTCTGCCCATTTTTCAACTGGGTTATTTGCGCTTTTTAAATTTTTTTTGGTGTTGAGTTGTTTTAATTCTTTATATATTTTGGATATTAGCCCCTTGTCAGATATATCATTTGCAAATATCGTAGGTTGCGTTTTTGTTTTGTTGAGGGTGGAATTTTTTTTCTTGTGACGAGAACTTTTAAGATCTATTC